GTCGTTCGTCTCAACCAATCCCCAAAATATAACCAAAGAAAACGTGCCTGTTGGACGGTTAATGTGTACGTACTTTTGGTGGTTGATTAAAGAAAGAAAGCTACCTTGATCAGCACAGAATACAGTCCAACTGTAGGTGCCCGCTCTTTCCAGTCATTAGACCCGTGAAAAATAACTGGAGGACAGATTCTGCCTTAGAAGGTTTCACGAAGCTCCATAAATCTCAGACGTGTTAGCACCCATCATCTTATTACACGAGCTCATGGTCTTGTTCCGTCCTGATGGAAAATCCTTCCAGACCAGAGACATACAGTAATCCGTTATCCCTGAAATGCGCCATGATACATAGGAAACCACTATCGCAACTCGAAAATCCGCGGTGGGTATCAATCGGACATCGGTCGCATGAATATTATATTCACACAAAACTCGCTTTTTGAAACACGTAGTGGATCATTTTTATATACAGAATAAACGCGCCACTGTATTTTTAGAGCTTAAAAAATGGAAGACGCTATGGTGTTATTAATTATAACCTGTTGAAATCAGAAAAACAACTTAACTGCTCTATGCGAAGGCATGATTCGTTGTCTATTCTGCGCCGCAATAGCGACAAGAAAATGATAAATTATTCCGTGTGAAACTCAACGATTTTATATAAACTGATATATTATAAATCAAGCAGTTGTTAATATCATCATGCCTTACTTCTTTGTTATCGAGTAATTGCTAACCGTTCAATTTCCTCCCTTAGCTTCGACGCATCATGATATCTAGAATGGCGCGACCAGAAGAGGTGCTGGTGGTCGAAAACGAGCATGGTGAAGTGGTTCGCGAATTCATGAAAGATACGGATAGTTTGAATCTGTACAAAACGATGAGAGAAATTTTGGTTTATCTCACTCATTTAGACTACGCTGTAAGTTATTTCTTTTCTTCAAATAATATTTTACTTTTGTTCGGACACAAAATTGCCCCCATGGATGATGACAACCTTAATTTCTTTGTGTATCGCGTTGCAGGTTGACTGAACCATCAAGTTGGTTAGTCCGCACTGCAACCTCGCCGGTAGTGTTAAGGGTTGTCATTTGTTAACCGTAAAACACGTGATCTACGGACGAATTAAGGGTGTGTTGTTGGAAAATCTGAAAACTCTGACATCAGTGCCGAAACGTCTCCTTGCTGCTTAACAACCCGTAAGAATGAATTAGTTTAGAAGGTCACTGAAGTGAGTAAGTGACCTCCTTTGTACGAGGGTTGAGCAAAAAGTTCTCTTTGTTACACAGAAGTAAGCATTACATTTTACTGAAGTATTCTCCACCAGTGTTGATGCACAGTTCCTTGAGCTCAGACCATTTGGTAAAACATCTCGACCCTTCGATCAGCTCAATGAGGGTCTCCACCCGTCAATGTAATCAGTGTTAGAGACACTGATAAATGTGGCTGAGTATCCTGAACGACGATGCTCATGCGTCCACTCACTCTCCTCTCAAGCTCGTCTTTAATTCCCTTGTGTATCTTCTTGTTCTTGGTACAGATTTTTGCTCTTACTTATTCCGTTTGCTTCGTCATTGTTTCACCAAACCAAAACCGTCAAGCAAAAGCGCAGGGTTAGGGTTGTGCAAATCACACGCTAGATGTTATTCTCCGGGTTAGAGATGAACAAACCGGTCTCAGTGACATTAGTGGTCGACATGGTCGGGATAGATCGGGATAGAAGCATCTAGGTTACCGGAAAAATTCGGAATCCACACCAGCCATTGCTTGAACCTATACGCCGGTTTGATTTTCGATTACGGGCTAAGCAAATCATAGCGCATACGTCTAAAAGGGGTGCTACTTGGCTCGTGGTTTTCTTTGAGGATGCAGTAATGCCAACTTTCACTAACCGAAGCAGTTAATTATCTTATTCCTCG